CAATAAAGAGAAGTCTAAGTCTATCAGCTGTTCTGTACTGTTATTGTTACTGAATACAATATGAAACATCCACGAAACATGCCTGTCAGGGAAAGGAAAAAAGGCTTGTCAACCACTGACATAAGCTGTGATAAATGTCACAACCGCAGGCTTTAAATAAAATAAGTAACTCACAGGATGAAGGGACACAGTCAGTCACACTGCTGACCTAACCAAAGCTGAAGGACTCACCAGCTCCTCATAGTCTTCATCAGTCTGAACATCACTCGCCTCCACAGACATCTTAGCCGCTGAACTAAACATAGCTGGCAAGCAGATGTTACGTTAAGTTGGACAACTCGACTTTGTCCGTGTTTAATCCTCTCATTTTCTCCTGCTGGTTAGTGAAAAAACAAAAACATGAGGGCTACAAAAGAGACGCTAGCTGTGCGCTACACAACTCGTATTTCCGCCCCACAATAAGCGACTTCTCCACGTTTAAAACAAGACAGACACTGGGGGACACTGTTGACCATGGCTTCCTGCTGCCAACCCGTTAAAATGCTGTTTTCTTTCCACGCAGAAGGTTTTGCTGTTTTCACATCAGTGTTGCAGATAGAGTCGTCTAGCAACCAGGCAGCTGTTAATGAGCTGCGTCAAGCCACATGGAAAAACTCACACTCGCACCGGAAACCAAGCAGGGTTCGCCTTCAAAATATAAGCACGAAGAGGACGTAAAGCACTACAGCAAACGTGTCAAGTTGCGTTCAGTTCGGTATATTATAATTTATTACATACTTCCCATCGAATGTGTTTCGAAATAGGGGAAATGTATGGAAGATTTTAAAGAATATGACGACGCGTTTGTCAATAAAATTTTTATTTTGAAAATGTAAGCCGGTTGAGCAATTTCAGCTTTTATTAGCTTGACGGCGCTGGTAACTCAGCTGCAGCACAGGGATGAGTGTAAACAGTTTTCTATGCCTCCTTGTTTCTCACTGATTTCCTCACTTATGCTCATTGGTGGAGAGGTGCTAAAAGGCGGGACTTAAAGTGTTTTCCTCCAATGAGCAGCACGGAAAGAGACGAGCATAAGGGAAGGTAAAGGAGACTTTGGGACTCATCCAGTGTTTCCCTATTCTGCTTGTTGGCTTCTGACCACAGCAGATCAATATGTTGTACAGTATATAACATGATAGTTATACATATACAGAACATTATTGCATATAAAACCATAACCTGCATGAAAACAATACGTAGTATTTTGTATACATAGATGGCAACTTCTTTACAAAGACAGTAATCTTATAGCTTTAAATCTTCCTGCATTTTTTCCCTATTTTATAATCTAAATATATTCTGAAACATACATCAAATGCAGTGTCTTCGACATATTGAAATAGTTATAATAGTAGTATTTTTTCAGCAAAGCTTGAGTTTGCAATCAAATTTTCACCCGCATCCTGCCAGTAAATTTTCCCTCCTCTGTATTTTTCTTCCTCCTAATTATCTGCAACTTGATGTTCATCTTCTGTTCTCATTAATTTCTACTTCCAGGATCTTGCTTTCCTTACTTTCCATGCTGCATTTCCCATCACTCCATCTTCCCTATTGGTCCTCTGGAAGGTAAGAAATAGCAGCATAATACAAACTGATAAGAGAGGTTCAGGGAATGATACTCAGAGTATGTTATGATCTCTTGTCCTAAAAAACAATATAAATTATGAGCATCTTTTTCATGTAGAAACAGGGAGTTTCAGAGTCAGAAAAAGGGATGTCAGCACAGGTAAGGTCTGCATTGCTGTATACATTCGGGCATGTACAGTATATGTGGATGAATAGAAACGTGAATGAACTTCTTCCACTTTCTAATTCTCTCCTTTTGCATCGTTCTTCACACTCTCCTCTTCTCCTAAACTCTGTAGAGAACTCAGTGGCCTGTTGATACTGTATCATATTCTCATCCACACTGTTTATACAGGTGGTGGACCCCCAGAGCTGCAAAGCAGGCAAACCAGCATAGTTTTGTTCATGGGCAAACAAACCAATGGCAGATCTCATCTAAGACATACAGTTTCTTCTAACTGGTTTAACTAAATGTTGTTTTTTAATGCCAGAAAGGTGACTTCTGGCTAGAGAGAGCTTTACTGGAACACAATCCATCATTTCTTTTGACCATATCCACAGAGATGATGGGAATATGACACTGAACAAACATGATTTCATCAATGAGCTTTTAATACAAACTTAACTTGTCATTGTCATCACAGTAAAAAAAAGTGTTTTATAAAAGGTCCACACTTACCAAACAACACTCCAATCAACGCTTGTGTCTTTAGTTGTTACTCCAAAATCAACACCTAATAATTTGGAAAGTGTGAGTTTTAGTTGTATTGTCGATGTGGTTTCTATATTTACCATATTAACCTAATGTGGAAAAATCACACAAGCCCAATCACCACACAAATAATATCTTCCTTCAGGTGCTCTTCTACCCAGCGTTACATCTCTCTTTTCATTGTTGCCGACTATATGGAAGAAAGCCTTTGTCTGTGCATGTAGGCCATATACTGTACTGGATGTGTTGAGTGTAAAATGTTGCAAAGACACCATGTCTGCCACCTAGTGAGCTTCAACTGCACTGCATCGTGTTTCCTGGAAGTCAGAGAACCTGGAAGGACTGCAGCAGGGATTTAGTATGGTCTGCATATACGTCATAACTTGAGTCATACTTAAAGTTTAGTAATTTAAACTGTTTTTAAATTTAGAGGAATGCTGAGGTACAATCAAATACTCCTAAAATGAAATGTTTTAATTTTTTTTTATGTCAATGCCAGATTGGTTGCTGTTTGAGCCCATTAAGAGCAAATTATGTGTATATTTACACAACACAGTGAACATCCTGCCTTTTTTTACTGCTTTTATTTAAGTATTATTTTTAGTTTTATTGCTGGTTTCAGTGGTTGACAGTCCTGTCTCCACACCCACCAATTAAACTATATCACAACTATGATATAACTTACAGTATTAATATAATGTAAACCACAATTCAATAAATGAATATATAAAATAAAGATGTCAGTGTACATAAAGTCATAACACTGTTCATTTACATGGACAGATACTTTTCATGGAAGACACTTTGACATGTCACAGTAGAAAAAACACAGGTGTATATAGTAAAATGAATTAGTTGCTTCAGTTTCATGGTCCTGGTATTGTGCATGCTGGTTCACTTTCATGGATTACTGGAACACCTGAATAAAACAGAGCTTAATGAGCTTAACATTTTAACATTTTCCTTCTGTGATAAGTCTAAATGTCTGCTGTGAAGAAGGCCTATATGGTGTTGAGGACATCAAAGAAGTGAAATATGTGATCTTCAGTGCCTTGCTCAAGGGATAAAGGCATTGTCATAGTTTATACAGCCTTCACAAACATGAAATGAAACTTGTCCTCTGCATTTGACCCATCCTATATACATTACTATATACATTAGGGGCAGTGGGCAGCTGTGGGTGCCTGGGGAGCAGTTAGGGGTTAGGTGCCTTGCTCATAGGAGGTGAACCCGCACCTCTTCAGCTACCAGTCCACACTCAATACTGTGGTCTGTGGGACTTGAACTGGTGACCCCAAGCCAAGTCCCTACACACTGAGCTACTGCCTGCGGTGGAAGGCAGAGTGTGACTCTTCTCTCGAGCTGGTGAGAAAAAAACACCCAAAGTCTATCATTTAGTGTCAGTTTGTATTTGGGTTTGATAACAAGTTTCTCTCCTATCATAAGATTCACGTCCTTGCTGTTGTTCCCTCTAGGCCCAGGTGGGGGCGATGTTGTCGGGTTCAGTGGTATCCAGCATCAAGCAGCCCAAACCCAATCTTTGCTGTCTGCCCCACCTCCACATTTCCTTCACAGTCTCAGTCCCAGCCCAGTCTTCATGTCCTCCACCAGATTCTCCAAGCAAAGGCCAAGTCCTACTCCCAAACTCCAGTCCTGTTCAGAGCCATGACCTGTTTGAGCTGTCAGTTCCACACCCATTATTCTTCTCTCTAAAATTAATTAGTCGATATTTTATAAGCATTTTATTATTCTGTACATGCTCTTCATCCCCGTGTCCGTGTCGTGCTACCCCTTTTTCTAGTTTGGACTGTCCAGTTGACATGCAAGGGCTGCAATTGACAAGTATTGCAATTATTTAGTAATCAAATCAAATCATCATTTTATCTATAAAATCATAAAAATGTCAAATATTTGAGCTTACCTGAGCCCAAAGCAATGAACTAAACATAAACTACAGATGCTGAGAAAGGCCATGGCATTATTTTTTTAAATTCTTTTATCTCGAGATAATGAATTAATTATTTTGTTATCTAAAGAATCCAAGCTTTGTTATCTCAAGATAACAAGATAATCAACCCGTTATCACGAGAAAACAAAAGGTTGTTTTCTCTTCTTTCTTATAATGTTTATCAGAGATTAGGAGTGCTATGCCAGCCTGCATTTGTAGCATTGGGTTCAACATAATGGACATTGCATGGAGGAATGAAGTGCAGTGTGACAGTTAATGTTCAATTTTCATACAGAAAAAATGCATGAAAACAATCTGGACATTACAGGGATCTCTGAGCTCATTTAATAAATCTTGTTTTTATATATTTTGTCAGTATTGCACCACATTGCCAGGAAATTAATAGCTTAAACTCTCAGTAGATGTACATTCTGGTAACAACTCTTTTAGGTTCAGTTATGAATCCTCTAAGACATGTAGTAATCTTGAATGCTGAAATCAGGTGTGATCAAATAAACCAGACACACATTTTTAAATTCTCCACAATCATCCCATGATTTTGAATGAATGAAAATTGTTTTCTCATGATGAATTATCTTGTTATCTCGAGATAAACCCCCTTTGTTTTCTCGAGATGCGATAAATGAACTTCTGATCTCGAGATAAAGGCATTAAAAAAAGAATTGCAAGCACAGCTGTTCTCGACTTCTATAAAAACGTGTTCAGTTTGCACTGACCTGAAAGCAAAAAGTTAGTAAGCTCTTATCAGGCATTAGTTATTTTCACTTTATATATGACTTAAACAGTTAGTAAATCATCACTTATGAAGTTTCAGTTGACTGACACACACTCTCCACATATCCCAAAGGGCTTTTTAAAACAATAATTTGCATATACTGACAACTTAATGAAAACCTTTATGCTTATGCAAATAAACTTGCTCTGAAGGAACCGTCCCATCTTTGACCTTTAGTGTAGCATTTCCACTAACAGAAAACAGGGAGAAAGTATGCTTTGTTTCCACAGTGTGCAACTTATTTTAATTTTACGGAGGAGTTCTGACCCTCCAGAGAATACACAAAGTAATTTGTTTGTAGGTTGAGGAGGATGGACACAACAGTGTGGTTAAACGTGTTAAGCACCACTCCACCTGCATTATTCCACCGAGGCAGATAACTCCTAAATCAGATATTTCGGTACAGTCAAAACACCACATCAACATAATCACATTCATAGTTAAGAGCTGCCGCGGGGGGGAAGAAACAGAACAGCTCTAAAGGGCTTAACTGGATAAATTGGCTTCTCATGGGGATTTTCATTACCTTGCTAATATTATTGTGTGTA